GGGAGGTGGTCCAGGGCTGGGGCTGGCTCCTCACCTGGGAGACCATGATCCCTGCTGCGCTGCATGTTCAGAGCCGGCAGGTCCAGCCCAATCCTCATCACCTGTTCAAAGAGTCGCTCCCGGATCTCATCCACCACGATCTGGTTCTGGCGATTCAGTTTGGCAGGGGTGGCCATGAGGCCTCGGAGAATGGGGTCAATGCCACCTGAGCACAAGAGAGCAAGGTGAAAGGAAGGATTAGCTTGCTACCAGATCCCAGTGCACTCTAAGGATCAAAGAAGAGGTCTAGGCACATGTAGCACTTGGGGCCAAGGTGACTTTCTGACCCTAGGGTTCACAAGGTTGTGATGATCCCAGGCCTCGCCTCCTGGGTCAGTGAAACTGCAAAGCCAGGCTGTTCCCCGAAGAAGGAACGGAAAAAGATCTCTCCTCAGCCTGGATCCCCACAGCAGAACTCACACCATCCCTCTCTCAGCCTCCACGTACCTTCCAGCACAACTCTCCAAGTGGCAAAAAAGACCCTGCTGAGTGGGACCCTGGGGTTGGGCCCTGTGGGCCGGTACCGATTGTCCAGGCGAAACATGAAGGGCTGGATGAGGGTGTGGCCATAGCGGAAAGCGTTGGTGAAGACGTTGGCGATGCGAGGGTCCACTGAGTCATTGTAGCCTTGGTACCTGGGTAGGTACTTCCTCATGGCTGCTGGCCCCAACACCAAGGGCAGGTAGTCCCGGTATGTGATGATCTAAAACAAAGTGACTTCAAGAGATGTCTATTCACTCCTCCCTGCCGTCTCTGGCTTCGGGGATCACCCCCACCTGGCTAGGAGCAGAGCCCTTGATCTGAACCTAACAGAGTGGTGCTGAAGGACATAAACAGAGCTTTGCAACCATAGGCCATCTATTGACCTTTGAACCACATGTAAACAAGGAATAAATTATATCCCTGTCTCTCTCACAAGACTAAACAAAGTGCCTTGTTAGTCATGGTATTCTCTCTGATGTCTTTAGTTAGTAGTGTCTCATTTTTGAAATTCCTGAGACTATTCACAGTGCCCAGCCTTAGCCTGCACACAGTAGGGCTTGCTACAGGGTTGTAGCAGGGCTGAGGTCTGCTCTGCTTTCCCTGGAGAAGCCCCCCAGTGAAAGGGAATTTGTGGGACCGTCTCATACTAGATCCAAGGCTAGAATTGCCTCTGAGGCTGAAATGAATCCCACTTGTGAGTGTGAGTGTAAATCAAACCCTAAGTTCAACACCTTCACCTCTCTCTCTAAAATCTAGTGAAGGTGTGTGTGCGCGTGCGTGCGTGCATGCATGAGTGCATGCATGAGTGCATACTTCTGTGCACCCATGCTCACAATGTAGATGATTGTTGACATTCTTGGGAGAATGGGAGTCACTGGAACATCAAATGTTAGAAAACAGAGGAACAGTGTCCCTCCCCGGAGGGTGGGGGACTCAAGATGATGACCAGTGGGTAAAAGAACCAATAATAACAGTGCTGCATTGGTTCAAGACCCTCCCTAGCAACAAATACAGAAATGCTGCCTGAAAGAGCAGCCAGCAGCATCCCTGGGCCCTCAGGAAGGAAGTCCTGGGAAGACAGGGAAGGGAAGCACACTGGTCAGGCAGGTGTCATCTGCCAGTGTTTCCATTTGGCTCCTTTGAGCCTTACAGCATTATGGGTAAAGAAGCCCGTGTTGAGGAGGGAGAGTGACTGGCCCAAGAACACATGGCCAGAATGCTGTAGGACAGCCTACCTGGACCATGGCCCCGACAATCTTCCGGGCCTCCTGGAAGAGCCTTTCCCCACTCCAGCGAGGGTTCAGGCGCCTGAGCTGTGTGGCCAGGCGGTTATGCTCTCGAACGAAGAGGGTGTGCACAGAGGTGAGCTCAGGCATCTCACTGGAGCGCATGTCCCCTTAAAGAAGCAAAGTCTTTGTCACATCTGTGTCCTTCCATCCCCTGCCCAGTAAAGGCCTTCAAGGACTCTCATGTGCCTGCTCTCCACCCACCTGCACACAGCAGACTCACAGGTCAGCGCCAGGCTGACAGAAGAGCTTGGGAACACTGTGGTCCTTCCTGCAGCCCTGTCCCATGGCCATCAGCCTTACTTAAGGATCTCCTTAAGCACAAGGTCCAAGGCTTCTGCCTTTCAGCATTTTACCCTTTGCTACACCCCCCTACACACACACACACACACACACACACACACACACCCTACAGTACATGAACACTCCTGAGAAGGAATACTCAGCTTATTCTCTTTGGTGAAAGCCAAAAAGCAGCTTGCATGTTTTCTGCAAAACTTGAGTGCAACCTCAGAATCCTTCTCAAAACAGGACCCCAGAAAGCCCCCACTATCTGAACATGACTGTCGGTAGCAGGCTTACTGGAAGCCGGTTGTCTGGCCTGTTGTGGTGGGGGAAGGGAACAGACCGTGTGGGGTCCACACCTGAGACTGTTCAAGGAAACTAAGTCCCTGACTTCTCAAGCCTTCCCGAAACCTTCAACAGGGAGGCCCAGAGGGTGAGGTTCAGGGCATTTGCTGCAAGACACTGACTGGCTCCAGCCCTTGCCAGCTCTAGAAAGGAAATTCTAAGAGGAAAAGGCATCCCCGAGAACAGCTTCTCCATCCCGTAAACAACCAGAGGTCATGGCTAGCCCAAAAGAGAGGGGGCCCTCCCCTAGGAAATCCACCTTTGCACCGACCTTGGCCATCCTGCCAGAGACCATCAGGAGCCCTTAGAAGAGAAGATGAGGGACAAGAAGAGACCTCTGCTTCCATTGTGTTACATCAACACCTACTGATCTGGGCTTGGTGGTGGCCCATGTGTGACATCCCCACTTGGAGGAAAGACAGGAAGATTGAGGAACTTCTGAAGCCAGCCTGGGCTACAAAGCAAGTACCAGACCAGCTAAGGCTAGCTATACAACCCAGTCTAAAAATCACAGAGAAGCGGGGTGGATTTCTGGGTGTAACCACAATCCTATCCCCAAACTTCCTGGTGTCTCCACTTGAAACTCCATCTTCTGTCTTTCTAAGAAACCAAAATGACCAAGAGGTGATATTCTGTGACTCTATCCACTAGAACTTTCTGGGGTGATGAACCAGTCACTTCTCCACTGCCCAGTAGGGGAGCCACTGGCCCATGGGACTACCGAGCCCCTAACATGTGGCTACCTCAGAAACTTGATTACGTTTAAAATCATTTATTTATTTATTTCAAGACAGGGTCTCACTATATGTAGCTTTGACTGTCCTGGAACTCACTCTGTAGACCATACTGGCCTTGAACTCACAAATATCCTCCTGCCTCTGCCTCCTGAGTGAGTGCTGGGATTAAAGGTGTGTGCCACTGACCCCTGTTCTACAGGGCGAGGACACCACATTCCTCTTTGTCTTTTTAGTTCTCTGTCCACAAGGGACGACAGCTCTTTCCTTTTCCATAGTCCAGAGGAGGGAAAAAGCAGAGAAAGAGATGACAGAGGCTCCTTGCAGCCTGTGTCTTCATCTTAGGCTGATGGGGTGGAGGCTTTGTGTGTGTGTGTGTGTGTGTGTGTGTGTGTGTGTGTGTGTGTGTGCAGTGTTTCTGTGGTTGTTATTTTCCTTTCTGTCTCTATCCAACTTGTTACCAAGGCAACTAGACTGATAAGGAGTTGGTGAGACCTGCCTGCGCCTCTCATCACAAACCCACAGGCTGCTCACATCCAGGCAGGCGCCCACAAGGAACACCTCCACCCCACTCCAGTCCAGGCCCCAGGCTGACCTGCCAGGAAACAAGGAATTCGAGCAGAGCGGTTGGTGAGGAGGCAGGGGTCGTCGTGCAGGTTGTCAAAGGGCATCAGGGCCCTGCCATTGTCTTGGAAGCGGGTATTGACAGCCAGCAGCCCCATCTGGTTGGTGAGGTTGCGCAGCCTCCTGGCCAGGGGGTCCTCACTGCCATATACTGCGCTGGCATCCACAAACGAAGTGAGCGCGTTGATCTGGTTGCGAATGGTGATGTTGCTCCCGGTGCATGCTGGGCAGGAGCGGAAGAAGGGAATGCAATCCTCTTGGTTCTTGATTCGAGGGTCATTAGGTGGGATCTGCGGCACACAGAGAGGCTAGCCTGGCTTTTGCCGGTAGGGCGTGAGTTGCTACTTCCTGTCAAGAGAACTCTGACCCCTCCAACCTGCAGGGAGGCCTCTCAAGGACCTATAGAATTAATGGGGCTCCTCCAGCAGAGATAGTGAGGTGTAGGGGTGACATGAATACATGAACTGGAACGCAGAGACCCCCTTGGGGTTAGGCAAGGCCAGTCCTCTGACCCCTCTTCACTGTGCCTCTTAATCCTCTTCTTTCTGGTTTCTGCCTTTTCCTCTCTGTCCCCTGGCTGTCACCATGTCCCAGTCAGTCTCCTGTCCCTTTATTTCCCTCTCAATCTCTGCTTCCATTCTCCCCACTTCCCTCACGCATGCACATGAGCACACAATGTGAAGCAGGGTTAGGGAAAAGCCCCTCAGAGAGGCAGGGAACACTGGGAGTGTGACGGAGACAGATCAGGTCCTCATCCCAGAATTCTCCCAGCCCCACAAAGAGCCAGTCACCCCACCACCCAGGGCTCATACTAGGCCGGGAGATTGACACTCTGATTGACAGCTGGCTCTGCGGAGGGAGACGAGTATTGACTCTGGACCCCAGCATCAGGACCAGCAAATGGGCTAGGAAGGGACTAGGGCACAGAAGGAGCATGGCCACTAATGTGAAGCATCCATGTTGGGTGCAGGAAGGAAGCACCTTGAGCGGGAAGCAGGGTGGCTGCTGCAGGCAGCTGGTCTCACAGTTGATGCCAGTGAAGAAGGAGGAGCGGGTAGCGGGCTCCGGAGTCAAGGTTACGTCATGGTCCAGAAACTGTCCCCACTGCATGAACATGAGCGAGCGATCCTGGTCCCGGGTCAGCTGATCGTTGGGGAAGCGCACGATGGCGTTGGACACCTTTCGAGCCTGCAGCGACAGCAGGCATCAGTGGGTGCCTGGACCCTGCCCATCGGGCTAGGCTCTTCTCCCTCTACTGGACGCTCACCAAGGGCACCGGGAAGCCATCGCGCTTGACCCTGGGCGTCCAGCCGAAGGGCAAGGAGACACCATCTTCGTACTCTGCGGGCAGCCAGCGTGCAAAGGCGCGGTTGGAGGCCCCCAGCGTGGGGCTGCGCCTGCAGGGAAGCACAGAGCGCTGGCCCAAGGGGTCGCCACAGGCGGGAGGGACCTAGACCCACTACGTCACACATCCGTGAACTCCTGCCCTGGGCCCGCACCTGTTGTTGCAGATTCCCGTGATGGTGCGATACTTGTCCTGCTCAGGGCACCTCACCCCCACGTCCTGATAGGCGCAGCCGCTCGACTTGGACAACAGATTCAGCTGAGCAGGAGTCAGCACATCTGCAAGAGTGACCCGGACCTTAGACCCGAGCCCTCTCCCACCTCGTTTCCTGTGCTAGACAACCTGGGGCTGAGGAGCCCAAAGAGGGTGGGGGTGGGGTGGGTTCGCCAGCTGGGAAGTAGAGGAGTTCTGGGTTACCTCTGAGACTCCTTGGAGCGAGGATTCTCAGGGTTCCTAATGCGGCTGCGACCCTTTAATACAGTTCCTCACGTTGTGGTGGCCCCCCAACCACAAAACTATTTTTGTTGCTACTGCCTAACCGTAAATTTGCTACTTGACCCCTGTGAAAGGGGGTCATTAGATCCTCAAAGGGGTCGTGACCCACAGGTTGAGAAACTGATGCGGTAGCGAAAGGCTCATGCTAGGTAGAGGTTTCCAGAGGGTGAGGGGGTGGTGCGTAAAGGGGAGCCGTTGCAGTACCCGTGATATTGAAAGGCCCTGGCCACTGGGGCTGCAACTTCCTCTTCAGCAGGTCTAGGGACACGTGGAGATAGTCTGCAGCCCTCACAGCTGTTCTGGTTGCTGCCACCGGCTGCTTGAAGTAGGAGATGAGTTCCATGGGGCTAGCAGTGCCGCGTCGAAGGTTCTCTTTGATGCTGCTTAGACAGGGGAGGGTCAGGGAAGGGCCCGGAGACAGAGCCCAGCCTGTGGTGGCCAGGACTGCGTGTTGAAGGGGTGGCTTTGGAGATGTCCCCACAGCGGGGACCTCAAGTACAGATCGACAGGTGCAGCTCCACCTGTGCGTCCATCCCCATCCTTTCTACAAAGTCCCCGCTGTGTGTCCCTTCTCCAAAAGCTTTGCAGCAGGTTTGCCCAGGGCTGCCCAGTGCCTGGAATTCTTACCTTTCTCGCCGCTCTTTGTAGGCCTTGTCCACCAGCTGCTTGGCTTCCTCCATACAGGTCAGGATCACGGAATCCTCCACGACCCCCAGCACAGCTGCCCAGAGCACAAACCACAAGGTCAGGAGTGGTCCTGAAGCCCTTCATCAGGCTCCAGAACACAGGAGGCCTGCTCAGGGGAGAGGGAGCTGCTGGGCTGAGACCCCCCCCCCCAGTCACCCACCCTCCCCTCCTTTTGGCTCTAGTACCTGGAGTGGCACCGATGGAGGTCTGAGGTATGGCCAGAGGGGCCAGGAGGCCTGCCAAGGCCAAGAATAGCTTCATCTCTGCAAAAGACCCCAGCCCAGGAAGTGCCCAGAGCATGTGAGTACAGAGAGAAGAGCATTGAGAAATGGCTTACCATCCTTTGCCTCCCAAGTCCCCTCCTCTCTCTCCATTCCCAGCCCTGCCCCAGTGGGTCCGGTCAATGAGGAAGGCCTCTGTGATGGAGGGGTCTACACCCCAACTCCACAGCTCACCTGACACACTGTCACTACCTCTCACTAAAACTGGACTTTTATGTCCTCTAAGCTGGGGGCGGGGCAAAGTAACAAGATGTGTCCCAAGACTAGACTCTCCTCCCCCACTGGGGTTAGGGATGTGTGGCGGGCATTTAGGAGGGTCACCGTTATCTGGTATAAACATCAGATCGAAGCAATTGTTTTTAGATGTACTCAGGCTTGGAAGAAATCATTGTGGTAAATAGTGATTGTTTTCTGTGAGCTGTTTTTCTGAAGGAGCTCTACAGCCTTTGCATGATCTTACTCACAGTCCCTCTGGGCAGACCAGGAAGTCTCGCAGGAGTGGTGGCCCGGGCCTTTAATCCCAGCACTAGGGAGGCAGAGGCAGGTGGATCTCTGTGAGTTCGAGGCCAGCCTGGTCTACAAAGCAAGTTCCAGGACAGCTAGACAGCTAGGGCTGTTACACAGAAAAACCCTGTCTCCAAAACAGAAAGGAAGTAAGGAAGGAAGAAAAGAAAAGAAAAAGAAACACATAGATTAGGGGTCTGTTATGAGGAACTCGTCTCACTCTGAAAATAACTTTTGTATAACAGTCAATGAATATGCTTCTGAAAGGTTGACTGGGGGTTCAGTCCACCAAGGCGTCGTGACCCCCTGCTCCTTCAAGGCCCCATTGCATCCTTGATGTCTCTCTTCAGTTAGCCCACATGTCTCACTTTACCAACAGGGATGCACAGAGGGGCCTATGAAATGGAGGACATGGGCAAGAGAATGGATCAGAGGTATTTCCAGAGAGCACAGACAGCTAGCCCCTCAAGATGCTGGTTAAACTGGGTATCCCAGATTCCTTTGAAAGAGACAAAATTCAGGAGCCAAAAGCTAAGGAGTTATGGGGAGTGGTGTATCCCCCACAGGGGGAAGGGAAGGTGATAGGGAAATGCAGCAATACTGACCCCTTAGGGGGCCCCGAATCACCCCCACTCCAACCCTGGGACCCAGTCTCAGTGGGGCCAAGGGAACAGGAAATCTGGCTGGGGACAGTTGGGCTTCACAGGAAGGAGGAGCCTGGGGGCTACAGGCTCAGAGCAAAGGCAACTTCCTCTGTCTCCTCCACAGCCCCTTCTTCTGGACTTCTGGTGGGGAGGGACCCATGTCGGCTTCTGGAGGGGGCAGAGGTGGTTGTGGTTAATGGTCAGTTGGTGATGCAGCCCCGGGCCTCTCCTAGACAAGACCAGTCAGTTAAGAAGGTTCGGGTTAATGATTCAGGGTGGTTATGAAATAGAAAAGGAGGAGGTTTCCCCTTGAGACAGGCTAGCTGTAGAACTGCCATTCTCCATCAGGAGAAGTACGGTGCCTACCCACCTCCCAGGACCCTCTCAGGCCTGGGGTAGGACTGTTTGGTCACCTTCCTGTCATCCACTCTTGTCTATGCTCAGATCCCATCTTGGCTAAGGGACAAGGCTGCACCCAAGTATCTTCCCACTGTGTCCAGGGATCCTGTCACCGGGGAAATTGAGCCCAGGCTCAGGAGAGAGAAAGTCACTCTTCTGGTGGTGCCACAGATGAGCTTGGACAAACGGCCTTCTGAGAATCCGGTCTAGAGTTTTAGAAGCTTTTGAATATACTTTTTTAAAAAATTATTTATTTATTGTGTAGACGGTGTTCTGTCTGCCTGGACGCCAGAGGAGGGCGCCAGATCTCATTACAGATGGCTGTGAGCTGCCATGTGGTTGCTGGGACTTGAACTCAGGACCTCTGGAAGAGCAGTCAGTGCTCTTAACCTCTGAGCCATCTCTCCAGCCGTTAAGTATACTTTTTAAAAATCTACAGGTAACATATTTTCATCAATGAGAATCTAAAGGGTATGAATAAGCAAGAAATAAAAATAAACTGAGCTGGAAGTGTTGGCTGTAATTCCTGTAATTCCAGCGCTTGGGAAGCAGAGGCAGGAGGATCAGAAGTCAGAGGCTAGCCTCAGCTGGAGAGCTAACTTGGGGCCAGCCTGACTTCATCTCAGAAATAAAACAAAGTAAATAGAAATTACTTATAACCAATTGATTTTGTGGTTGATTTGTTAAGATTTGTCGTTTTTCACATAAATAAGCAATAAGAAAGAACAAGATTTCCCATAATCCTAGTACTCACCAATACTTTAATAATTTACTATCCTTTGTGTAGAAATACTTTTTCTCTTGAAAGAATATTAAGAAAAATTTGATATCGCTTTATAACTTTTTCAACACGGGGTCTTATTATATTGCCCAGGCTGGTCTTGAACTTGAGTACTTCTTGCCTCAGCCTCTGGATTACTAGGGTCACAGATAAACACTACCACCCAGACCGTCACAGCTTCTTCTAGGACTCAACAGTTGAGTCGACACATCTCCTTGTCAGTACATGTGCGTTTGTTTCATGTCTACAATGTGCTTCATTGTGTTTATTTTCTGATTGTGTGTGCACACATGTCCGACCTGAGAGTCACTGCTCTCTTTCCACTGTATGGATCCCAAAGACAGAACCTGTAGCCTCAGGCTTGGTGCAGGAGCCCTACCCACTGAACCACCTCATTGGCCCCTTTTGTCTCCTTCCTTTGTGCTTGTTTGTTTTAAGACAGAGTCTCACTATGTAGCCCTAGCTGTCCTGGAACTCACTATGTAGACCAGGCTAGCCTCCAACTTATAGAGATCCGTTTGCCACTGCCTCCTGAGTGCTGGGATTAAAGGTGTGTACCACCATACTGGGCATCATTTGCTTTATTTTTATGCCTGAAGATTCTGTCTGAATAATTTATGTGATTTATTAAACTAACTCTTTCTTGTTAGATACTTAATTAGTTTCCCATTTTCATTGTTATGGACAGTATTTGGAGGGATCTCCTTGGAGATAAATCTCTAGTCACATCTTCAGTTATTTCCTTAGACAAGAAGTCTTATGATGGGGGCAGCCCTGCATGTCCTTAATCCCAGCACTGGGGATGCCGAGGCAGGTGGATCCTGATGCCAGCCTGATTGAGATAGAGGAAGACCCAGTCTTAATTTATTTTTTCAGAATATCTTAGCAGTAAAATTGGGGCTTGCACAATTTTAGGGCTTTAGAATTTGTTGCCAAATACCCCTCATGAGGACTGCACTCCATCCTTCCAGCAGCCACGCAGGGCAGCACCTGTTCCCTGTGGCCCTCATCAGCCCTTTTTAAGTGATTGGAAGGAAGAGACTTTTTTTAAAAAAGAGAGAGATGATATGAAGAAAGTCCAACAAGGAAATGCTGTTGTCAAGGATACCAGTGCGGCACAGTTCAGAATAATCTGTCAGGTTCCCTGGCTTCCGAGCTGAGACGCTTTGCCTAATGGCCTCCGCGGTTATTTCTGACCTCTCGTCAGTGACTTATTTAATGGGCATTTATTAAGCCCTTGCATATGCTGCGTGTTGGGCTTCACTGGGCAGGAAACACACTCCACGGAGCAAAGTGTGGGCCTTGTGCTCAAGGAGCCCACAGTGAGGAAGCCAAAAGGCAAGCAAATGGCATCTTACATACATGCACAAAACTCTTAGGGAGTGTCAAAGCATTTGGATCAACGGGGGGAGGGGGGGAGGTGGAGAGACCAAAAAAGACTTCCTTGAGGGACCTATACTTTATTCTCTGTCTTAGAATGTTTTGGGGTGACCATTCTGTGCATTCTGTGCACCCCAAACACTGGACCTAGTAGACATCATTCAGATCATTTCAATGCAGGAGCAGAGTGGGCACTAGATTAGGTTGGGGAGACAGGCAGGCCCCAGGGCCCAATACTCTTGTGAATTTTGTACTTAAGGTCCCAGGCAGCTGCTTAGGTCATGAAGCAGGAGAGTATTGGTCACCCAGGCAACACAGGGCAGTCACACAGAGATTTCAGACCTCGAAACTGAGAGCACTGGGGGTTCCCACCAGCTAGGAGGCTGGTCCTGCCTTTCTGTAGGCTGCAAGAAACAAAGAATACCCCTGAGAAAGAAAGCAGATTCCAGCGGCTCTCTACCCAGGCGAAGGGCGAATTCTCAAGCAGAGTCCTCCCTAAGCCCTCGACCTGTGCCTCAGGGCATGCGCTGTGGACCCAGTGTGCACAGGGCTGGAGATGCTCATGACTTCCCAGTGATTCCAACCTTTTAACTGGGCACGTTTGGGGCCACTGCAAGGCCAGCAGCCTCCCTTATCTCTGCGCTGTTTCTCCCTCACCCAGCCAGGCTCTGTGTGTGTTAGATGCTCATAGGCCTAGGAGAGCCTGGAAGACCAGAAGAAGATGACTCCCTGGAAGGAGGATCCAAACAAGCATTGTTCCAGCAGTCATACCTCAGCTCCCTGTCCCAGGGAAGGTCTTTGGAGGGCACCCCTGGAACTGCCACATCTCCAGACTACAGTCATGATGGGCGGGAGCACCCCATCCAATGCACACATCTCTCTGCTCTCCCTTCTCCCTGGCGGACTTTCCCAAACATCCCAGCCCTTTGGGTTTAGCTCAGCTTCCTGTGTGAAAACTGGGCAGCCACTGCTTGCAAAACAGATTGCTCTTTCTTAACGCTGTTTAGGAAACAGTTCAGTTGAAATTAGAGGAAGGTGTGTGTGTGTGTGTGTGTGTGTGTGTGTGTGTGTGTGTGTGTGTAAGGAAGTGCCTCCAGCAAGCTCTGGAAGCTGAGTATCAAGCATTGACCATAGGGACGCAAACAGAGCAGTTGCACCCAGCCTGTAGATAGAGCTTGCCGTGGCTTTCTTCAAAATCTCCTTTCAGTGAAGGTTTAAAAATCACACACTGGGCTGAGGCTATAGCTCAGCTGGTAGAGTGCTTGCCTAGAA